GTGAAATAAGTCAGACTGAGAAAGACAAACACCATACGATCTCCCTTATATGTGGGGTCTAAACAAACAAATAATAAATATAAATACATTTTAAAATCAATGAAAAATAAATAATCAACAAGGTAAAACAGAAACCATAGGTAAAAGGAACAAGCTAACGGTTGGCAGAGGGGAGGGTGGTGGGGGGTGAGTGAAATTAAAATGCAAAAGAAGACATGTTTGGAGAGCCCCTGCAAAGGCCAGAGGCAGTGTGTGTGATGGATACTTTGGCTTTGCCTCTCCCTCTAATCACGGAGTTTGGGGGCTCCTTTCCTTCTTATCCATCTCTGCACTCTGAGCGCCTCCCTTCAGCCTTAGGGACTCCAAAAAACAGGTGTTGGATTCAAACTTGTCCTCCCCACTGCCGAATGCAGTCAGTACACCACACACCGGCTGGAAGGAGTCACACGAGACAACAGGGTCCTACAACACGGTCTTTTTTCGTTATCCAGAAAACCTTTATTTTCACTTCTCATAACATTAGAACGAGGGTTGCTGAAGCCTTAACCAGATGTACTCCCTTTCCAGATGCGGGCCAACCCTTCCCCTGTTTCTGTTCTCCTCTCTTCCCTGTATGTCCTCCAGGGCCATCTGCAGACTGTGTCCTTCCCTGAATCCTTGAGGACCTCGATACATAAGCTACATCTTTGTGTTTTCATGCACTGCTACTGGCCTTGTGAAACAATGGCCTCTCTAATACATGTCACTGCTTCCTCAGCTTGTAATATCTATGAAATGCTGGGACTGTGAAGTGGTTTCTGTTTGTTTGGTTGTCTGGCTTTTTTGTGAAGAATGCGCTGAAACTCACTAAGGTTTGGACAGATAACTCACGAGGTAATAACAATGGATGCTTTGAAAGCCAGTACCCAGGTCCAGCTTTGTAACAAACACAAAACACCTAGATTTTTTTTTTTAAGGTTTTTTATTGGGGAATCGTGGAAAGGGAACAGACAAGTTGCTGTCCTTTTGTGGTTAAGTCTAGTTGTGGAGGACGTCGCTTCACTGGCCCATGTTGGTATTATCATTGCGCTCTTCCCAGGTGAGGCAGATTGGTCACCGGCCACTGGACGGCCGCTCACGGCGGCTCTTGGCAGCTCATGCTGGCTCCCGGCCACTCATGGTAGCTTATGGCAGCCCACTGCAGCTCCACTGCAGCCTACGCCGTCACCAGGACTCACAGCAGCTCAGCTCCAGGTTGAGCTGTTGTTCACCATCTTAGCTGCAGAGGGCGCAGCGTCACTGGCCCTCATTTGGGATCCGGACTGGGTCCCTGCAGCTCAGAGCTGGTCTCCCAAGCCAACTCTTAACCAACATGCCACTCGGCCAGCCCAAAACCTAGATCTTAAAGAAGGTTAGGTCTCTCCCCAGACCAAATAATTCTATTTTCCTGTTGGACACTGGAAGCAGAAACTTTCTGAGGGAAAATGGTTATTACAAATAAATCCAATTTCTGAAAACCCTGAAAAGTACTGGTAATCTAAGCTATTCTGAGGCAAATGCTTTTTTGAAAGCTCATGTCCCCTCTAGAGGTATACGTTTCCTTCATTTTCCGTTGACATTGCACAGATTAAACAATAACTCTACGTGTAAACATGTGTCCACATAACCTGTAAACATATTTCAAGCTATTTAATCCTCCAACACACATTCCCACATCATCAAGGGCTCTCCACTGGCCTTGAGTATGTTAAACTCTGAGTAGAAAATCATCTTAACACATAAATTGATAATAGTGGCTTTAAGTACCTTCTGCACAACTACATCAGCAATAGCCCTAACGTAGTGCTAAGACTTTAGTGCAATCTGCAATAAGACGGTTTCCTAAAACAATGTGACCGGTTTTCAGCAATTTCTGGGAACCGGAAATCCACATCGCAAGTAAGAATCTGTCTGTGAGATTATGGTTTTTAGTTAAATCTAAGTGATAACCTTGCAGTTCCTTATTTGAAATATCTTAACCTTCCTGAGGAAAGAAATGCATGGTATCTATATAAATATATGTATCCTGAACAGGATTTCCTATGTTCTAAGTAATACTGCTAATACTGTCACCTATACGGGCAGAGAAGATGGTCCGTCACTCATTGTCAAGCTGCGTGTGTGAAGATCGACTAAACGCTGCTGTCAGTGGGATTCCCTATTTCATCAGAGCAGTGGAGGGGTGATGGCGGCCACGACATGGCATCGGATTGCGGATGAAGTGACACCGTGCACGGCTGATTACATGTGCCTGCTGAGGGGTGAACAGGCTGCCTGTTGCACTATCCTATCACCTGTGTGTGCTGGATCTGCCCACGGAAGGCACATGTCCAATGACCATCTGTCCCTCTGCCTTTGGCAAACCTTGATTTTTTTTTTCCTTTCCCACGGGGTCACCTGGGGGCTCTTGATGGGGCCCTCGGTGATGAGATGGAGCAATGAACCCCAATGCCAAGCGCTGGCAGCAATGCTTTGCCCCAGTGTCATTCCTGGTGTCCCTTTGCAATGCAGGACGTGAAGTGGACTTCACAAACCGTCATGTCCCCAGACACACAGTGGCTAATGGCTCACCCCTTCATCCTGTTCTTCTTGGTCGCACTGGCAAGAGAGTCTGGAGGAAGAGGGGCAACACATCTGAAGCCACGGCTTCCACATGACGTTCCCCAGGGACAACTGGTTGGGGACTTTTTGCACGGTCTGGGTGTGACGGTCCACCGCTCGCTGCATGGCTTCCAGGATTTCCTGGAATCGGGGCTCAGTTGCGGGAGTGACTGGGTTTCTCTCCCTGGGGTCTTTGGAAAGATCGAAGAGCAAAGGTGGGTGATGGTGGGTGACGAACTGCCCGTAGCAGAAACACACGTGGGTGAGAAAGCAGCCGTTGGCGCCCTCGGGGGTGAAGTTGGGCGTGAAGAAGAAGGCTTTCCAGATGGACGTGCCTGTGGTTCACAAGGGACAGGAAGTTGGTAACACGGGTAAACAGCGGCATTATCGAGAGCACACGGGAGGCCACGCACAGAAACGAGGCTGCAATGGGCTTGAAGCAGGTGGAGGCTTAGCATTTGATTGCGGATGAAATGCGTGGCTGCATCGCCCTTGAGGCTCAAAAGAGTAAGCGGCAAAGCTTAAAAACGAGGAAACAGAAGCGTGCGTGACTGTTTAACTGCCAAGGAAGAAAGGCGACACCGACAAAGCAATAGCTACCGTGGCCCAAATTCAGACACGTTATAACCATCATGCTTTCTTTTCCAGAAGCCACCTCTCTGTCTTCACTCTCTCCCTCGCCTTCCTTTTTCTCAATCCCTAAAGTATTAAGACGATGCTATGCTACCAACAGGGAAAAAGCTGATCAATTGTGTGAGCATGGAACTCAAAACGGGACTGCCATTTTAGTCTAGCAAACATTACAGCCTGGAAATGCACACACGGCACTTGATAAATATACTAGAGGATGCCAAAAAAAAGTGGACACTTTGGTCCACGTTGCTCAAGCAGTAGTTTGCCGTCATCAGAAGTGTCTGGCCGCTGATGGGAACCACTTTGAGCACCTCCTGTGATTGCAGACATCACATGTGACTTGTATTCATCTTTTGTTATTGGTATATATTGAGTATTACAATTTTAATACAGTTTTCCTTTCTGAAAATGTGTCTACATTTTTTTGGCACCCTCTGTATAGACTAACAGGTTACAAGCTCCCAGCTCTGTCCTCTCCTGCACTCCAGCGTCAACATTTTACATTTACCGCCTGTGTGTTTTCTGCTTAAAAGAAAAAGGACGAAACAGGTGGGCTCAATGGTTACATGTACATGAGGGATGATTAGTCTGCGTGTTTCACACACGCACACACACACAGAGTCATCAGGAACAGTCTCACACATGCTAGGACCTCAGCTAATATTTCATTTTCTCAGCTTTGAGAAAGCCCAAACCTATCAAATCTGGAATTATAAGAGTCTGAGCCCGAGGATGGGGACGGACTACCGAAGGGAAACAGAGGCGGTCTTTCTGGGGGTGAAGGAAATGGTCTAATATGAGATTGTGACTACAGTTGCAGAACTCCATACATGCAGTAAAAATTATTGCACTGGAATTATATGGTCTATACGTTACCCCTTAATCAAGGTGTTAGAAACGCCAAATTATGGGGATTTGCTGACCCTAGGGTAGGATGGTTAAACTGTTTTAAAAATATCAGTTCTGTGTTCCATGAAATCCCTAACTATTGAAGTTGTTGAGGAAAACATGTTTTCAAATAATTATGACATCGTCGATTGATTTCCTATGTATGCCACAATGTTATAACTTTCTGAAGAGCTGACTGCCAATCAAACACCGTCTAACAGAGGTCTAAAAAGCATTTCCTGGGTGTGAAAATTGCAGCAGATGAAAACAGGGAATTCACGTGCCTAAACCGACTGGGACTAGGTACAAAATGCCAGTGTCCTTTTCACGTTCTCCTTACAGCTTTGTTCCATAAAATTGCAGAGACTTTCCCACTAGTCCGCGTCACACACCTATTTAATCCGCTTTGATAATTTGCGTGCATACGGCAAATTGGTGACTTTTGTCGTAATAGGTATATAGTGACCAACTGATCCAAATACGAAATGAATAGAATCAACAAAAAGCAATTGCCAGAGGTACTTGCATGGTCCCCAAGGAGCCTGTGACCTCAGGCAAGCTTTGGCCATGGAATGTGGCCTCTCTGTGGTGTTTTGGGAAGAACCAGGGAACACTGTGTCAGCAATACATTACCAAGGTGATTCAATTAAAGGGACTGCATAATGGGACCGTCCCGTCTGCAGCACAGTTAGAGCTGGGAGGGTCGGGACATAAGGTCTGTGCCAATTTCCATGTGCTCAGCAGATGGGCCTGATACAGATGAAGATAGGCTGGCACGCAGCCGTGCTAGGCTGGACATGGTGACTGTCCCCAGCAGAGTTTAAAAAAAAGTAGGTAACATTAAGATTCTTTACAGCAGGTCCTCTCATTTATCTTTCGTCCCAGGCACCCCAGATTTCCTTCAGAGGCCTCTCTTGTGACACTGCAGCCACTCCGGCTCCAATCCTCACTCAGGGTCACCCGGGGCCACGGCAGTGACAGAGACGGACAGGAAGTCCCTTCGCCTGTTGCTCAAAATGCTGCAAGTCTAAAGGGTGTTTCAAGCGTGACCTTCGAGTCATGTCTCCGTGCATTTAAAACCCAAGAGAAGGCAGGCTCCTGGGCTAGATTCATCGTAAGGACCTGAATTTCCCACTTGATTTTGAAAGCCACGCACACGGATTCTGCTATTACCAATTTAGCTCCACGCTGCCCAGATGTGAACTGGATGATTGACTTAAAAGCCAGTCAGTCTATCTCAGACAACCTCACCCGGGAGGAGCTGAGCAATCGCTATGTCGGACAAGCATAGAATCAAAAATATTTTTTTTTCCCCCCGGAAGAACCGTTCGGTAGCTCTAAGGGTATTTGCCTTTTGATCTTCAAATTTGAATCTTTACAACATTTTTGGTCAAGAGATAGATTGCTTATTCTCTGTACTCGTCCGCTGCAACATTTTGGATCTGCTCAAACGAGAGGAATGGGGCTGCCTTTTACAGCACACCAGTTCATGAAATAGGGAGTCTTCCTTTAGGAACCCTGGAACCCACATCTTCAAAGGAAAAGGGTAAATTGCCGTCACTTGATAAAACAGGAAACACCTTATATGTCTAATAGATATATTCAGTCTTGTCTTTAAAAATTATTATTTAGTGTGTGTGTGGAGGAGGGACGGAGGGGAACAGCCAAAATTATTTTGATACCTTATTTCACCCTGGATTTCTCCATATTCTAGAAAAATGGTAGGTTTCAAAACAATTTTTTTTCCTGTATTTTAAAAATCCCAGTCTACTGGTTGATGGAGAAAACCGTACTTTACTAGATGTTGGTATTCTCATGGGTCTGTGGCTGTGCCCACGATGGTCTGTTTGCGCCCTTTGTTGAGGGTTCAGGTGAGTTTTGTGTTTCGGTGCCTTGTTCAGTATGGTTTGCTTCAGCCCTTTCTGTTGACGTTCAACATGTCACGCCAGGTGCTGACAGCTGGGGTTCCCGTCCCAGCACTGCTGTTTCCTAGCTGTGTGAGGCTGCGTATGGCCATTCACCTCTTTGCATCCCAGTGTCCCTTTCTGGCCTTGTGGCATGCCTTAGAGGAGTGAGAACCCTAAAGCTCTCAGAACATTTGTGGGTACACCACACAGCAAGGCCACCTACCAGGGAGCTGTAAATACAGAGCTGCAGTCCATCTAGGCAAACAACACATTGGTTTATGTCTGTTATTAAATCTGTTGCCCGTGCTACACAGGTCTTAAGGTATTTTTTTTTTCCGCTCCACGAAGGGTTCTTAGCCCTTTTGCCGCGGCGGTCGGATGTATATGAGTGAATATATCCACAGTGTTTATATACAAAAATAATGCCATTTATAGACACAGCAGCTCAAATTGTTATTATTAAACGCATAGTCAAAATATCAATGTTTTGTTTTTGTGGATTTCTCACACCTTTTGAAAATAAAAACAACTTGAAACCAATCCACGCAGCGAACGAGTTAAAGAATATGGAAGCTAAATTGAAATGGCGTCGACACACTGGTTCTTAATTTATCACTCAGATTTAGATGTTCCCCCCAATGAATGCTGTTCGACTGTTAGTCCTGGCAAGATTTATTCTGGATGCTTGGAGAATTCCACGTATACATCATAGGAGCCAGACAGAGACTTTGGAGTCCATCTTGGCAGCATTTCCTGCTAAAGTGCCACATTCGGGGTTTTCAAGAACCATTCCAAACACTACTGTGTTTTCCCACTGTGAGGGGCCCACACCCGTGGGACCTGAGGCTTGGCCCTCAGTCACGCTGACTGCGTCTACTGAACTGATGATGTCGGAAAACCCATCATGTAGTCCCCGAGTCCATGGAGACCCCTGTGCTGCTGAGATACAGCTCCGACCTCATTCCGCACGGTCCTTTGTCCCTACCCAGCCACCCTACACCAACGCTGCGGTTCTTTCCTTAGACCCGGAGCGCTTATGAGGTGGGCCCACCTGGGGCAGCCCAGGGCACTGGCGTCTTCTACCTCAGCACACACACACCTGATCCCAGGGCGCTGTGGGCCCCGGTCCTCTCCTTACACCCTGAGGTGCCTTCCTACCTGTTCTCTGCAGCCCAGGCCCTGAAGGACCCAGCACTGGGCTCACGGGTTATACGTCCCGTTCTCAGGACGCAGTAACAATGAGAAGAAAGAGGACACGGGTAAAAGCTGTGGCTACACGTACCTGCTAGAAATCCAGGAAGGTGAGGGCATGCCACCTCCCCCAAGTAATATCTGACTGTCCGCAAACAAAAACGCTCCCTTTGCGTATTGGGGGATGGGCAAGGTGGTTCAAGGTAGGAACACAATACACATGGACGTCTTCCCTTTCTTTGCCTGCTGACTTCCTACCCACCCTTGCAGGCCCTGCAATAACTCCTCCTCCTTGAGCCTGTCCTGATCCCCAGCCAGCTGTTATCACCATTTCCTTGTTCCTCTCACCAATTTGCACCAGGCACTCAGCCCTTAGAGGCTGGCACCGTCTGCACACTCCATTTTCCGCACGAGGCTATTTGCTCTCGGGATGCCGAAAGTGAAACTCCTACAACTCTTGAGTGCGCAGTACCTAGCGCCTCACACAGAATAGATGGTCAATAAAAGTCTGCTGTGTAAATTAATACATGGATGAGATGGACAGGAAGGGAGAGAGAAAGAAGGAAGAAGCCGTCTTCATGGGCAGACAAGAAGTCGAGAGCATCCCGCTGTCTCTCCCTGGAAGCCATCCAGATCGTCCTGCCCAACATCATTCAACGTCCAACAGACCTCCAGCCAGCCAGACATCCAGGGTTCTTGGAGGCACCTACTAATGG